TAGGGAAAGGGCTCCGAGGAGAGTGAACTGATACAGTTCAGGTGTTTTCATGAGAACGCTGGTGTTTCCGTTTGGTAAAGGGCGCATGAATGGGAACTGAGGACACTGGCATGGCATCTAGTGCAAGTTTTGCTTTTGACCTGTTCTATGAACCCAAGGCAAACAAATTAACCCGTCTGGACTCATACTGTTTTCATCTCTCTGACAGAACAGGTAGATGACTATATCAACGTTATCAACTGTCTCGCCACGCGCTAAAATTCTAATGATGAAAAGAAAGACAACCCAGCTATGACTCAACAGATTTTTTTTTTTTTTTTTTTTTTTTTTACCTTTCTGCCTGCAACATCTTTTAAGCTGTGCTCTGAGCTGTGTGCGCTGTAAACACTGAGAACTCAAAGCAGAGCGCCTGCAGTGCAGCGATGGGGGAACTCCCTCAGCACCACAGTCAGATTACAGGATGATATAGGGAAACCGTCTTGTTGACGGCAGATGAAACCAGCATGCTGTAATTTTTAAGCTGACTGGCTTTAACGCGCTGAAGACAAAACCAACATTCAATGGTGCTGGTATGAAGTTGTTATTGCGGTAGAAAGAAAAAGGACAAACATCTTTTCCTGCTCGGTGTTGGCAGGCTCTCCAATATACATCCCCAGCTCTCCATATCTCCCGTTGGAAAGTAGATAAGTCCGCCTTTTAGCTTTGCTGCAGGTAAGGATGGTTACATGACCCACCTCTGCCCAATAAGAGACGAAATGCAATATTATTCAGCGTAAAAATGAAGGAAAGCCTTGTTGATTATCTATTTTATATATACTAGTATGTGTATGTTAATCCCAGGTTCCTGACTGATTCCTCCCCCTCACGTCTCCCCTTTGGTAAACATAAGTTTGTTTTTGAAATCTGTGAGTCTGTTTCTGTTTTGTAAGTAAGTTCATTTGTATCATTTTTAATTAGATGCCACAGATGAGTGACAGCATATGATCTTTGTCTAACTTACTTCACTTAGTGTGATAATCAACTATACTCCAATAAAATTAAAAAACGAAGGAAATCCTGCCACTTGGGACATCACGGATGAGCCTTGAGAGCATTATGCTAAGTGAAATAAGTCCAACAGAGAAAAACGCATACTGTATGATGTCATATATATGAGGAATCTAAAAAGGGGCAAACTCATAGAAACAGAGTCGACAGTGGTCGCCAGAGGTGAGGGGTGAGCGATGGGGGGAATGGATGAAGGGGGTTAAAAGGTAGAAAGTTACAGTTACAAAATAAATAAGTCCTGGGGATGTCAAGTAAGGCATGGTGACTAAAGTAAGTAACACTGTATTGTTTACTTGAAAGCCACTAAGAGAGTAGATGTTAAAAGCCCTCATCACGAGAAAAAAATGTGTAACTATGTGAGGTGATGGATGTTAACTAGATAGACCGTGGTGATCAGTTTGCAATACATACGAATATCCAGCCATTGTGTTGCACACCCAAAACTAATACAGCGTTATATGTCAAACACATCTCAAAAAAACGGGGGAAAAAAAACACCTATTTCTCAACTACACTCCAGTAAAAATTTAAAAAATAAATAAAGGGGTCACCTTGAACACAAAGTACCTATTCACCGGGGAGTCACAACAGAGGGGGGGAAAAAAAAAGAACTGCAGAGTGAGGTGTGGGAAAGCGCAGAAAATGCATTTCACAGGGACAGAAGGGACTGACCTGCCGTCTTCCTCAGCCCCAAACCCACAAACTGTCCCGAGAGGAGGGAGGTCACACAGGGACCATGGGAAAGCCTTTGCCTTGCAGACGCCAGGTAAAAAAAGCGACCGCCTTATTTTGTCTTCGAAAACCCATACTGTAAATGAAGCAGATGGAAAAATCAAAGCTACTAGGATTTAAGTTTGTGTGGATCGTTGTAAGTTTGCTGGAACTGAAAACACTTGGGGGAAATCCACACAGAATGGGGACAGTAAGAGTAGCGTGGAATGCCAGGTAATTACAAAAGGAGAAAATGTAAACCACTCTGGGGTTTATTTCGGGGTACGGGGATCAGAGGGGTAATGACAGAAATGATAGGGAGGCCACTCCCTCTGATTTCATCCTCCATCCCCCTCTGGTCTCCCCCCTTTTCCCACAGCACGTTCTATAGGAAAAGATCCACTAATGGACCAACACGCCAGGAAAGCGACATGGCCCATGTGGACCTACTCAACGTCTGTGCTGGGGGGGGACACACAGCGGGCCTGGCCCTGTTTGGTTCTCACCCACACACAGTCTTCCTAACTCTCCCCCCACCAGGTGAGGGTTGAATTGTGTCCCCCAAGAGACAGATTCAATTCCTAACCCTGGAAACTGGGAACGGGAGCTTATTTGGAAACAGGGCTTTGCAGATGTGATGAAGGGAAGGGTCTGAGCTGAGGTCCTCCTGGAGGAGGGTGAGCCCTAAATCCAACGACAGGGTCCTTCCAAGAGACAAGAGGAGAGACACAGACACAGAGGAGAAGCCCGGGGAAGACGGAGGCAGAGACGGGAGGGATGCGGCCACGAGCCCAGGGACGCCCGGAGCCCCCAGAAGCTGGAAGAGGCGGGAAGGACCCTCCCCTGGAGCCTCTGGAGGGAGTGTGGCACCTTGACCTCAGACATCTGGTCACCAGGATTCAGAGAGGATGGATGCCTATAGTTTTAAGCTTCCCAGTTTGGCGGTAATTTGTTACTGCAGCTCCAGGGGTACAAATTCAACCAAGCAATGCAAGGATTCTTCTAGCATCCTTATTATTTAATCACCTAATACTATGTGTTCATGTTTTTGCATACAGAACCTAACAGGATTTTTACTTATCTTCCTCCTGTTTGAGAACACGTTTGGAAATGAAAATTTACATTTTTCAAATACCCCAACAGGGATCTGCTCAAGTCTTTTGATACAATGATGTGGTTTGGGAAATCCGGGGAAATTTAAAGGCCAACACTGAGGACACCACACTCAACTGTCTTTGTCCAGATAGTTGATGAGGAGATACTCAAGGAAAACTCTAGAATTCATAAAACAAAAAGCCGATCTGTTCTGGAAAAGTGATGAACTTTCCAAAAGCTTATCAAAAGAAGCA